AAGCAAAAAGAAAGCTGGGGTATTAATATTTATATCAGATAAAATAGACTTTAAAACAAAGATTGTAACAAAACACAAATAAGCGCGTCACATAATGATAAAGCGGTCAATCCAACAAGAGGATATAACATAAATACTTATGTATCCAACATAGGAGCATCTAAATATATAAAGTAAATATCAACAGAAATAAAGGGAGAAAAAGACAGCATTGCAATAAGAGCATTGAGATATTATAATTGCATTAAATAAAGCTATATTATGCAATTGTTTCATTTAATAAAAACAGGACTAATTATTTTTCCCATTAAATTTATACTTAGATGTTCCATTCCAATTCGTCCAGATCCTTCTGGAGTCTACATACCATTCACATTATTAAAAAACACTCTTATCTTTCTCTTATTGAAAGACTTGACAAAGTAAAGCAGCAGGTTGAGGCTTTGAACTCAGATATCTGAAATAAAATTAAATATTAATATCTTAATAATTATGTAACCTAAGCTTTTGTGATTCAACTTCTTTATCTGTACAATGGGGAAAGATCTGCTTGAGTGTTTACATTTTTTGCCTTAGCACTCTCATTTGCATTACACTAGTCCAGGTCCCAATTTTCTTTAATTGCAACCTAACCCAGTTTAGATCAATGAAAATCAGGTGTGAAACTTTCTCTTGAACAATTTGAAGTGAACCTATGAAGTACCTAAATCAGTAGGACATAAGCCAAGACATAATGACCCTATATCTGCCAAAACAAATAGTAGGCCTGAGAATTAAGCCAGCACAGCAGAAATAGAGCATGAATAAGAAGGACTCCCTAGAAATATGTTTTAAGCCCCTAGATACAGGCGTATAAAGTGATTTTAATGTCTTATTTATTTATTGCTCTAGATAACATTGGCCAATAAATTCTGTTTGTTATCTTAGCCAATTAAATTTCCTCCACTGGCACAAGATTTTACTTTGTGATTCATTCCACCCACTAAACTATCATAAGTTTTCTTCTTCTATTCATCTCATAGAAAACTGCTTTCTCTTTATAAATATAATTTGTTTGGGAAATTTATTTTAGATTTTGAAAAATATATATGTACACATACAGATACAGTTGAAATCTAATAATAAACATGCTCTTATGGAAACCACATGGAGATTAAGAATTGGAACCTCACCAATTCCTTTGCAGAATCCTCTCTACTGTATCTGTCTTATTCCTTTTCTCAAATAAACATTATTTATAATTTAGTAGTAGGTTTTTATCACTAAACAATACATTATTTTTATTGAATAATTTATAGATAAACTTTCTAGAGTTTTTGAGTTAAAATTTACATATAATAAAATTCACCCATGTGGGCTTCCCTGGTGGCGCAGTGGTTGAGAGTCCACCTACTATTATTTATAATTTAGTAGTAGGTTTTTATCACTAAACAATACATTATTTTTATTGAATAATTTATAGATAAACTTTCTAGAGTTTTTGAGTTAAAATTTACATATAATAAAATTCACCCATGTGGGCTTCCCTGGTGGCGCAGTGGTTGAGAGTCCACCTACTGATGCAGGGGACACAGGTTCGTGCCCCAGTCCGGGAGGATCCCACATGCCGTGGAGCGGCTGGGCCCATGAGCCATGGCCACTAAGCCTGCACGTCCAGAGCCTGTGCTCTGTGACGGGAGAGGCCACAACAGTGAGAGGCCCACATACTGCAAAAAAAAAAAAAAATTCACCCATGTTAAAGTATGGTTCTGAGTTTAGATAAATAAATCAAGTTACATCACAGTGATCACAATCAAGATTTAGAATAATTCTACCACCCCTAACATGTTTCCTCAAACTCCTCTGGAGTACACTCCTCTCCATACACTCAGCCCATTGCAAACACAGAATATTCACCATCACTGTAGTTTAACACTTTACAGACTTTTACATAAATAGAATTATATCATATTAAATTTTGAGTCTGGTTTACTTCTTATAGCATAAAATGTGTCATATCCATAGTCACTACTGTAGTTTTATAATGAGTCTTGGAATTAGATAATGTGAGTCTTTCAACAACCTTCTAATTGTTCTTTGCCAAAATTGTAATTATATTAACTTTGCAATTTCATATAAATTTTAGAATCATGTGGTCTATTTCCACTAATTAAAATATTCTGGCACTTTGAGCTTGCTTTAAATGAACAGATATATTTGGGAGAATTGATTTCTTAACAATATTGAATTATCCAAGTCATAAACCTGATTTATCTCTCCATTTATTTATGTCTTCTTTGATTATGTTCAACAGTATCTTGTAGTTATTAGAATGCTGACCTTGCACATATTTTGCCAAACTTATGATTAAGTATTTTTGGGTATTTGGTTCTAATGATAGTGGTTCTATTAACAATAATTGTTCTATTATGGTTATTAATCTATTAATTTCTTTTTATTGCAAATATACAGAAATACAGTTAAATCTCATATTTAATTGTATATTGAAATTGTGTTCTACAGTATTGCAGTACTCCTTGGTAGATCCAATATATATTTTTTAGATATTTTGGGGGATTTACTTTGAAGACAATTATGCCATCTTCAAATAGATATACTTTTTTCTTCTTTTCCAATCTATATGTTTTCATTTTGCTTTCTTGCCTTATTGCTCTGGTTAAGACTTCTAGTGTGACAATGAATAGGTGTGGTAACAACAAACACATTTGCCTTCTTATATAATGGGGTAAAACATTCAACATTTTACCCATATGCAAAATGTAAAATGCAGGGGTTTTTTTTCCTGTTGATGTTTTACCTCAGGTTGAAGATGTTCCCTTTTATTCCTACTTTGCCAAGAGTCTTACCATGAATGTGCCTTGAATTTGTCAAATGTTTATTTGCAGCTATTGCAGTAATATATATTTTTTCTTGTTCAGACAATCGATATGGCAAATTGCCTTAACTATTTTCGAATGTGAAACCAACCTTACATTCCTGGAATAAACTCCACTTAGCCATGATGTAGTTGGCTCTCCATATCTGTGGATTCCACATCCACTGATTCAACCAACCTTGGATTGATACTATTCAAAAAAATCCCAGAAGTTCCAAAGAGCAAAACTTGAATGTGTTTAATGCCAGCAACTATTTACATAGCATTTTCATTGTATTTAAAACTATTTACATAGCATTTTCATTGTATTAGGTACTATAAATAATCTAGAGTGATCGATACAGGGAAGATACTGGTGATTGCCAGAGGTGGGGAGTGAATGGTTGGATGAAATGGGTAAAGGGGGTCGAAAGGTATAAAATTCCTCACACACACTACTATATATAAAATAGACAACCAATAAGGATCTATTGTATATCACAGGGAACTATACTCAATATTTTATAATAACTTATAAAGGAAAAGAATCTGAAAAATTGAATCACTGTGCTATACACCTGAAACTAACATGACATTGCAATTCAACTATACTTCAATAAAATAAAATTTTAACAAAGGTATAAACTTCCAGTTGTAAGTCATGGGGGTGCAATGCATAGAAAGGTGGCTATCATTAATAATACTATATTATTGCAAGTATTATTATTCAAGTATTGCATATTTGAAAGTTGCTAAGAAAGTAGATCTTAAAAGTTTTCATCATGAGTAAAAATATGTAGCCATGTGAGGTGACAGATATTGTAGTAATCATTTTGCAACTTATACAAATATCAAATCATTATGTTGTACATCTGAAACAAGTAACTTATATGTTAGTTATATTTCAATTAAAATTTTTGAAAAAACAAAATGGTAACTATGTGAAGTGATGGATATAATTTGCTTGATTGTGGTGATTATTTCACAAGGTATACATATATCAAAACATCAAGTTGTACAACTTACATATAATTTTTGTCAATTAAACCTCAATAAGGCTGGAAAAAAGAAAACTGCTTCAGTATTTATATGGTAATGAAATGGAACAAAATAACCAAGAGAATGTGGAATATGATCACACATTATCTGTGTATTTTGGTTTAAGAAATGATGTATTAATACAAAAGAGTGAAAATAATAGAGAAAACAGACTGACACATAAGCATTCACCTAATTATAACAAATATGAAACTTTTGCTGCAAGGTAAGGGTACACGTTTCAGGAATGGGTGCTTGTCCATACAGAAACAAGTATTGATCTTGAGCATCCATACCTCACTTCATACAGCATAAAAATTCCAGATGTGTAGTAGGTCTAAATATAATAGGTAAAAATTATTCTGAATATAAAATAAAAAATTATGAAGCTTTTAGAGAATTATCTTAATAAACTTAGACTAGGTGGTTCCTTAAGTAGGACAATCATAAAAGAAACTATAAAATTACACATTAGAGAAAACCAAATTACTTTATCAAACTACATAAAAATTAAGAACTTCTCTTTAATTAAGAACACCATTAAGGCTATGAAAAACCTAGAGTGGAGAAGATATCTGCAAAATATATCTGAAATAGATAAGCACTATTTCACGAGAATAGTGAATTTTCTTTATTTTTTCTCGATCAGACCCTTTATTTCTGGACTGTCGCCAAGGCCACTTTGAGTCACAGGCACGTCACAGAGTACCCGGGAAAGCGGGCCAGTAGGACCCAGCGGGGCTGCCTGCAGCTGCCACCTCCTCATGGGGAGCTGAGCCAGCCGCAGAAGAGAAGCCCGTTGGTCTTGCTGTGCTGGATAAAGATGAGGAAAAGGTTGGGCTTCCCTGGTGGCGTGGTGGTTGAGAGTCCGCCTGCCAAGGCAGGGACATGGGTTCCTGCCCTGGTCCGGGAAGATCCCACATACTGCAGAGCAGCTGGGCCCGTGAGCCATGGCCACTGAGCCTGCGCATCTGGAACCTGTGCTCCACAACAGAAGAGGCCACAACAGTAAGAGGCCCGCGTACTGCAAAAAAAAAACAAAAACAAAAAACATGAGGAAAGAGTGTTCAGCTCGGAACCTGGGGGTGATTCTGGCGCAGCGCCAGACCTCCGCAAAGGTCTTGTGCATAACCCTGGACAGGCGCAGGTCCCTCCGGGCCGACATCGCGGAGAAATCCGCCCTGGTGTCCTCGAAGACGTCAGTCACGCCCAGGGTGCGGAGGACATCCTCCATGTCGTAGCTCTCCCCCAGCTTAAACCTGGGCAGGGACACCTCCACCTCTTCCTCCATCAGGTCCGGCCTCGTCCACTCGATGAATTTCTCACAAACAAGGTCCTTTTCCACCGTTTTCAAATTGGTGTTTTCATCGGGAAGCATGATGATCATATTGAGCTCCCTGCCGACGTAGGGACGCACCAGAATCTTCGTGAATATCTCTCCAATGTAGGTCATTTTAAAGGTGGATTTCTTGAAGATCATTTGCACCGGCTTCTCCACATTCTTGCTGACTTTGAACAGCCTTTCCTTGGTGTGCTGTTTGTTAAACTGATTCTCCCAGTTTCCTTTGAAGTAGATGGCATTCACGTGAACCAGACAAGTCATGGGGTCCACTGAATTTGGAGACAGCAGGTCTGTAATTTTTCCTTCTGTCCTTTGGGCTACCCAGGTGTTTATGTGTTTCCTGGATTCCTCTGCAGCACTGATAAAGTCCAGCTTTATCAGGTGATAAATTCACCTGAGTTGTCCCTAAATTTTTCTCACTATTCTTTATCTTCTTTAGTTTATGTAATTAGTAATTCTTTCTCATTTTGGTGTGTTTATGAGTGTGGGAACATACCTTCTCTTCCCTTCCCTCTTTCTGTCAGTCTTGCCAGAGAGTTGTCAATGCATTAGTCTTTCAAAAGTCCAACTTTAATTTTATTGATCTACTCCTCTTCATTTTATGTTGATGTTTTATTTAATTAAATTGGACTCATTTTATTTCTCTTTGAGTTTTAAAAAAATATTTTAGGCCAAATTACCTCATTAATTTTCATCATTTTTTTCTTTTAAGATATATGCATTTAAGGCTTTGCATATCCTTCTTAGCATCACTTTAGTTCTATCCCAAAGGTTTTGATATGTTATAAATGTTTTCTAACGTTGGTCTTGCTGTGCTGGATAAAGATGAGGAAAAGGTTGGGCTTCCCTGGTGGCGTGGTGGTTGAGAGTCCGCCTGCCAAGGCAGGGACATGGGTTCCTGCCCTGGTCCGGGAAGATCCCACATACTGCAGAGCAGCTGGGCCCGTGAGCCATGGCCACTGAGCCTGCGCATCTGGAACCTGTGCTCCACAACAGAAGAGGCCACAACAGTAAGAGGCCCGCGTACTGCAAAAAAAAAACAAAAACAAAAAACATGAGGAAAGAGTGTTCAGCTCGGAACCTGGGGGTGATTCTGGCGCAGCGCCAGACCTCCGCAAAGGTCTTGTGCATAACCCTGGACAGGCGCAGGTCCCTCCGGGCCGACATCGCGGAGAAATCCGCCCTGGTGTCCTCGAAGACGTCAGTCACGCCCAGGGTGCGGAGGACATCCTCCATGTCGTAGCTCTCCCCCAGCTTAAACCTGGGCAGGGACACCTCCACCTCTTCCTCCATCAGGTCCGGCCTCGTCCACTCGATGAATTTCTCACAAACAAGGTCCTTTTCCACCGTTTTCAAATTGGTGTTTTCATCGGGAAGCATGATGATCATATTGAGCTCCCTGCCGACGTAGGGACGCACCAGAATCTTCGTGAATATCTCTCCAATGTAGGTCATTTTAAAGGTGGATTTCTTGAAGATCATTTGCACCGGCTTCTCCACATTCTTGCTGACTTTGAACAGCCTTTCCTTGGTGTGCTGTTTGTTAAACTGATTCTCCCAGTTTCCTTTGAAGTAGATGGCATTCACGTGAACCAGACAAGTCATGGGGTCCACTGAATTTGGAGACAGCAGGTCTGTAATTTTTCCTTCTGTCCTTTGGGCTACCCAGGTGTTTATGTGTTTCCTGGATTCCTCTGCAGCACTGATAAAGTCCAGCTTTATCAGGTGATAAATTCACCTGAGTTGTCCCTAAATTTTTCTCACTATTCTTTATCTTCTTTAGTTTATGTAATTAGTAATTCTTTCTCATTTTGGTGTGTTTATGAGTGTGGGAACATACCTTCTCTTCCCTTCCCTCTTTCTGTCAGTCTTGCCAGAGAGTTGTCAATGCATTAGTCTTTCAAAAGTCCAACTTTAATTTTATTGATCTACTCCTCTTCATTTTATGTTGATGTTTTATTTAATTAAATTGGACTCATTTTATTTCTCTTTGAGTTTTAAAAAAATATTTTAGGCCAAATTACCTCATTAATTTTCATCATTTTTTTCTTTTAAGATATATGCATTTAAGGCTTTGCATATCCTTCTTAGCATCACTTTAGTTCTATCCCAAAGGTTTTGATATGTTATAAATGTTTTCTAATTTCCACTATTATATATATATATATATATATATATATATATATATATATATATATATATTTCTACCCAAAGGTCATTTAAGTGGAAGACATTAATTTTCAAAAACATGGGGATTTTTATGTTAAATCTTTTCATTTCTAGCTTAGTGCATTGCTATCAGAATGCAGATAGGGGTCATATATGCTTGAAGTTCTTGTACACAATCAATTTTATAAATGTTCTTGTGCTTGGAAAGGTTAAATTCTCCAGTTTCTGAGCTCAGTCTTCTCTATATAGATATCAGGTTAAGTTTTAAAATTTGTTAAATTTTCTATGACTCTTATTTAATGTTAGCCAATTTTTTCTATTAATTACCAAAAAAGTGTCAAGTAAAATATCTAGCACTCTGTCTTTTGCTTTCTCTGTCTTGAGGGTAAATTATTATGTGAATGGTCTTTCAGAACACTTATGTAGTCATGGTTATTGGATTTTTATCATTGGAGTGACTAAAATTTTTGGCTACTAATTATTTGTGCCTTAACTTCTCTGTTTTTCTGTTATTAATATAGCTATACCAGCTCCTTTGGTTTGAATTTGTGTAGTAATTCCTTTTCATCTTTTACAATCAACTATTTTGATAATTTATGATATAGCTGTGTCTCTTGTAAACAGAAGAGGTTGGATTGTATATCTAAAGCATGATGACAATTTTTACCCCTGAGGAATCTAATCGATTTGGTAACAAAAATTAATGCTATATATGGATCTGTTTTTCACTTTACATTCTATCTATTTTATGTTTTTTTCTTTTCTCTTAGACTTTAGCTTCCATTTGAACTTATTATTTGTTCTTTCTGTTTTTATTCCTCTACTAGTTTGGAAGTTACACTTTCTGTTTCTACCCTATATTGCTTTTCCTAAACATTATAAATTGCACACTTGATATGTCAGTCTAAATTTAATCAATATATTTTAAGTTTTCCCCCACAATGCTAATATTTTAGAACACTTTAATTTCATTCTTATACATCAAAAATTACATACAAATATGTATGCATGTTATTTTTTAATGACTATTATTGTTTTATGCAATCAACATACATTCAGTATTACACACATATATATATATAAATATATATACACCACGACACATTGTACGTTATCTTTTTCTTTCTTGGTACTCAAATCCTCCTTCAGCACAACATTTAAATTTTTCTTTAGAGAGTATCTGTGCGTGGCATGCATGTCAATTTTTGTTAGAAAATGTCTTTATATCACTTTCATTTTGAAAGACGCCTTCACTGGTTATAATGATTTAGGCTGACAGTTATTCTCTATCAGCACATTGACATTGTCATATTTCTGTCTTCTGACATCCATTGTGACAGAAGTCATCTGTCAAGCTGTTACCCCTTTCAATGTAAACCTTCAGTTCTGGCACCTTATAAAATCTATATCTCGGGCTTCCCTGGTGGCGCAGTGGTTGAGAGTCCTCCTGCCGATGTGGGGGACGTGGGTTCGTGCCCCGGTCCAGGAGGATCCTGCATGCTGCGTAGTGGCTGGGCCCGTGGGCCGTGGCCGCTGGGCCTGTGCATCCGGAGCTTGTGCTCCATGGTGGGAGAGGCCACAGCAGTGGGAGGCCCACGTACTGCAAAATAAAAAAAAAAACAAACTATATCTCATCTTTGGTTTTCGTCATTATCACCATGATGCAAATTTAATTTCCTTTATCCTGCTTATAAATTTTGTGAATCTTTGGGTTTCTTAAAACTTTCATAAGTTCTATCACTTGTGTCTCCTCAGTTCTAGATAGTCTCAGAATTATATCTTCAAATATTTTCTTTGATACACTCTTCCTTCTGGAATCAGCAAAAATAATTAATTTAGGTATATAGCCCACAATACTAGTGGAAATGCAAGTCTTCTTCACCACTTTCTATGTAACACTATTTTTATTTGATCTTTTTTTTTTTTTTGCAGTACACTGTTGTGGCCTCTCCTGTTGCAGAGCACAGGCTCTGGACACACAGGCTCAGCAGCCATGGCTCACAGGCCTAGCCACTCTGCGGCATGCAGGATCTTCCCGGACCGGGGCATGAACCTGTGTCCCCTGCATTGGCAGGCGGACTCTCAACCACTGTGCCACCAGGGAAGCCCCCTGATCATGTTTTTAAAGAAAATTATTAGAATCTATGTAGCTTGAGGAAAGAGAACACTTATTATGTATCCACATATTTCTTGTAGTCCTGACCATGATAACAAGTTAATATTTGGTGATTATTTTTAACAATTCATTATTTTTCCTAAATAGAATTGACAGTAGAAACCAGTATTGAAACAGGCCAATAGCTATGTCAGTGATTTATGTGATATTGAAACAGGGCTTTGAAGAATTTTGATGCTTTTTTTCCTCTAGTATATTAAGACATTTTTGTCATGGTGATACGTATTAAGAAATGTTATTGTCTATAGACATTATAATATAGGAACTATAAACTGTTTGAAAGTTATGCCCCTGAGCATGGATAAATAAAGTGAGACAGCTACTTGAGATTACTATTCCTCTTTTTAACCTATAGTATGTCTTAAATATTATGGGCATTTCAAGTAAATGAAATTGTAGAACCAGAAGTGAAAGCATTCTTTAAGGTGGGAAAAATTATGGGTTTAAATGTGGTTAATTTAGAGATCTGAGGACACACTGTCCTAGGTGTAGTACTCTACCTGTTCTATGTTAGATTTTGTTTTTTAAGTTTAAAAAATTAGAGACAATTAAGAAAACTTGATTCTGTTCCTAATCCTTTCTTGGATTATTTGACACTGAGGAAGTGGTTTAACTGTTCATAGCTAGGTGTGCTCATCACAAAAAAATTAGTTGATTGGAATTATCTTTGTAGCAGAACCCACAGGGAAATTGATTGTATACCATGACAAAACCAGTAAGTCACAGGTACTTATTGAAACATTTATTAAATTGATTAAGAATAAACTTGTAATAATTTGCATATATAAGTAACCAAAGGGGATATCTGCATTTTCACTCAATTTCCACAGATGTGCACATAGCCACAGTATCTGATAACAGTGTTACCTAACCTGGATTTGGGTCCACTGGCCAGACATGCAGCAAAGCCAATCTACTGACACTGGCTTGCAGTGGAGGGAAGTGCAATATTTGTTGCAGGGCATCAAGAAAGGAGAACAGGCAGCTAGTGCTCAAAAGACCTGAACTCCCTGATGGCTTCAGGGAAGGGTTTTTAAAGGCAATATTAGGATTGTGGATTGCAGGGTACCTGATCAGCTTGTGAATATTTTTCTGATTGGTTGGTGATGAGGTAACAGGGTGATGTTTTGTAAGTCAACATCATCAACCTTTTGGTCCCAGCTGGTCTGGGGTGTTCATGTTTCTGGTTAGCCGTTTTCATCTTGTGGGGTTCTGGTTTCTGTAAAAACAACTTAGGAATGTGTGTCAGTCCTTCTTATCTATATCATTCAGAGAATGGGGAGTTCAGTGACTCTGATATGTGGCTGATTTAGAGTCTAAATTGTTACCAGTTTCCTGGTCCGACAGCTATCCTTTGTTTCTGCATTTTTACATTCCCTAATCATTAACTCTCAAGCCAGTCTTCTGAGACTCAGGAAAGGCCTGGGAGAATAAAGCAAAAATCTTTTTCTTCAAAAGATAGGGACATGGGGTCTTGCAAGACATGGGTCTTGCAGCTCACATGAAGTGAGTTTGTCCATGTAGGAGTAGCAAAAGCAGACACACGACTTGCTTTCTTATAGCCTGATCTACCTAGAATTGTGTGACACAACCAGGAGAATGGTTTAACCTGGGTTCAATCTTTCAATGGAGGATTCTCAAGTAACAAAGCATGTACTTGTTTCTCTTTCTTCAACAAACTTAAATACACACATGTGCGCACATGCACGTACACAGAAAAGATATATAAAAATCATATTCATCTTAATTTGATAGTTAAATTGTAGTGGAAATTCTATATTGCGGACATCCCTGTTATGTGAATAACTGGAGAGTAATCCAGGAAATTATGTCATCTATTGGGTACTTCCAGTGAATAAACTCATCTTCTTCCACACATTCAATCTAGAAACAGAGGGAGCTATTGTTGACCTAAAACAAATAGGCTGCCAGATATTTCTTCAGCAAAGATGAGTTTATTGCAGATCACTGGGGAATTGCAAATTTGGGGTCTGCAACCACGGCAAGCCTTGGACAAGTCCCTGCAGGACAAGGGAAGAAAAATTATTTTATAGAGGGGAAAAGGACATTGGGAGGGCTGTAGTAAACAAAAACTCCATGGTTTTTCATTGACTGAGTACTCACTAGGAAAGAAGAGGTGTATACCTCTTGTTGGGCTCTGCTATCATTGCAGGGCCTGAGAGCTTCCCTTTCTGGTCTCCCAGCTCTGTTTAGTTTCTATTTTTAAATTTCTTTCGCTGTGTAACCTCTCTAACGTCACTGATACCTTAATTGGAAATCAGGAATATGCTACTTTTTCCCTTTTTGGGGGAGACACAAATAAGTGACAGGCGTTCATGATCAACTCAGCAATTTATGTTTTTGTTTCACT